AAACTATTGTCCGTCCACCCATGCTTCGACTTAATGTTAAACAGTGTTAGCACAGCTGATAGTTTAGAGTATTTTTTGCACCCAGGATAATGACTTTTAGATATAAAGACTTTTTAGAAGCCTCCGATAATGACTCAAACACGTCACCTTCAACACCACGCATCATCTCATCCACCCCTTCATCCTCAACCTCATCCACCTGATCATCCTCAAATCCATCCTCATCACCATTATCAATAATATATTCATCATTCATGTATTCCTCGTCCACATGAATCTCATTGCTTCTATCATGTACATCATTCCCAACAACATCCCCACTGTACTCTCCATCTTCATCGTGCCAAATCCACACATGGTATTTAAGCCTAAACCCACGACAAACTACATGATCTCTAATGATATCAACACTATTGACCACCTTCACATTATTACAATCAACACAAGGACAATAGAGGCAATCGACACCCATTCTGCGCTGATAAGATAAAGCCCTCTCGCAAAACTCTTGAACCCCATCAAGGAATTGCAATGTATCACGTCTACCATACATCCAACCACGATCCTTGTCCATTGAGTAAATTGTCTCTAAACATAGAAACATATTACGAATAATGTATAATTGCTACATATATTATATATGTAAATAAAATTCTAACACACATTATGCATATAATATTCTTATAGTAAAAAAAATGCATATATGCTTCCAAAGGGTCCTTATCGCTCCAACCTAACCCATCCTTGAACGTGTATTCTCACTAGTGAATATATGTCGACTTTCTAATTTTAAGGAAAATTCGGCAGCATTTCCCCCTAGTTCTCCAAGTACACGATGTAGATAATTACTTACCCACATATGTACCCAGAGAACATGGTGAGGAAATGATATGCCAAGATGTTCCTTAAAATTGAAAAAAAAAGACATACATTCACCACCTAAGTGAGAGTAAACGTTCAAGAACAGTCCTAACCAGGGACTATTCAAGACTTCTCCTAATGAGAAAGCCTTGAACGGGTATCTAGGCATATGATGATGCAAGCATTTATATATTGTTGTATTTATTTGTCATTAAACAATACACAAGTTGTAATAGCATGAAAAACTTTCATTAAATGAATAAAGAAAAAGGAATATAGATTAGAAAAGTTTATAATTCATACCACTATAGCAAGTACAATGGATGTATTCTTTCTAACTTTCCACTATATCTACAATATGTAGTCTTCAAGCAGCTAAACTTGTACTTCAATTCACATATGAATCTATAAAAAATTAAAAACAAAAAACAAAAACAAAAAACAAAAGTTAGTAAGTAATTAACAGCTACATACATTGCTAAAGTATAATGCATAAAGGTAAGAGTGCAAACAAGATTCAATCTCGAATTTGGTAAAAAGAATCATAAAGGTAAGAGTGCAAACAAGATTCAATCTTAAATTTGGTATCAAAGCTTATAAAAGTTTACCAAATAGGTATCTTCGCTTATAGGATGTGAGTTTATACCAAACGTATAATGGACACTTGAACTACGATAGTTGAATACACTTGCATTAGATTTGGAATAATTAATCAGAATTTTCGTGACTTCATCCTTACTTATGGCTTTAAAAGCAGCCTCTCTCACCTCTCACTAAGACAACATTATTTGGGTCCTCTTTGTGAGACATTAAATGTCTTGGAGTGGCACTTTTCAAGGTACACATTATATATAGCCCCCTCTCACACATTCCTCTCATATCCGTCACACATACTAAAAACAAATCAACAAACAAAACAATAAAAAGAAACTTCTTTTCTTTTATTTAAGTTTTACCTAAGCATAAATAAAAAAAATGAAGGGTAAGTTCTTCAAAGTATCCTTAAACAAGTGCAGGAAAATGAGCAGCAAAGTTATACATTCATCAGAGTATGAATGTGAGTCTTAGCTTGCCGTCAATGGTGTTTTTGGCCATCGTTGAGTTTACAGCAAGAAGCCGAAAAGTTCATCCCTAAGGATATCCCTAAGGGTCATATGGTTAGCTGGGAATGATTGTAATCCAATAATAAAAAAACAAAAAAAAAACGAAAATCAAACGTGAAGAAGCAGACTAACCCTAGAATTATGAAATTGAAAAACAAATCAACGAAAAACCCTAGATTGCGAAGGATTCGGATAGTTTAAGAAGACCACATTACCTCGAAGCTGCTTCAATGGAGGTGAGAAAGCTCAGATTCGGCTTCAATGGAGAATATAGAGCACGATTCAATGGAGGCGGAGGTGCTGCTTCAATGGAGTGAGAAAGGTGGGGCAACCACTTCAATGGAGAAGGTGAAAATTCGGGACTTAGGAAAGAGAACGAAGGCGAAAACGAGAGGGAAATTAAAACAGAACATGGAAAGAAAGAAAGAAAGAAGAAGAAAAGACGCAGCCCCTTTTTTAAAAAAAAATTTGGCACCGGTTTGAACCGGTGCGAAAACAGTATTTAGCACCGGTTTGGTCTGAACCGGTGCAAAATCCCTTCCACCCTTTTTTTTTAATATTTCCTAATTCGCACCGGTTTTAACCGGTGTGAAAAAGATGATTTTGCACCGGGTTATTAGGAACCGGTGCGAAAAGTACCTTCCCCAATCCCGCCCATTTCTTTTCCCATCGGTTTTCAAGAATCGTTGCAAAAAGTGCGCTGCGTAATTCATTTTTTCTACTAGTGATAGAAGTTACTGCTGCTGTTGAAGTTGTTGTTGTGGTGGTATTTCTGCTTCTTAAAATTGTTCTTGTTACCTTAATGGTTCCCAGAGCTCTGTCCAATCTCCTTTCTCTTTTTCTTTCCTTCCACCTCAGCTAACTCCTTCTTTTTCTTCAATTCTAAAGCATAGAGGTGTGCAAGACCTTCCATAAACTTCATCCAAAGTTTCAAACACTTGTCCACAGAGTTTTAGTTGGAGATCAGTAGCCAACCCACTCTCGAACTTCCTAGCTTTAGCTTTTTCTTTAGAAACAAATGCTTTGGAAAACCTTGACAGCTCAATAAACTTGGTATAAAACTCAGTTACTAACATCTCTCCCATATTTAAGTTAGAAAATTCTTCAGCTTTCTGTTTCTATAGAAAACTAGGGTAAAACTTGTCCCCCACCTTCTCCTGAAACATAGTCCAATTGAAACTAGGTAGTGCCTTAATGGTAGCTTCATTTTGTTACCACCAAAGGTCAATTACACCCCTGAGGTAAAAGGTAGCACAGCCTAGTTTAGAATTTTCTAGGCACCCTACTGCCCCAAACAATTTCTCAAACTCCCTTAACTAGTTTTCTAGCACAGCTGGGTCTAACTCTCCTTGATAAGTTGGTGGCTTGCTATGTGCCACCTTTTTGAACAATTCTCCCTGAGCATCCCCATTGTTGGTCGAGTTCCTTGCTAACTATTGGGCAACCGCGACCAACTGCCTTACAACTTCACTCAGCTCACCTCCTCCATCATTATTGTTTCGACTCCCTCCTGCAATCTTCCTTCTCCTAAATTGAAACAAGGGGTCTTTATTAATTATGGTCATGGTTAGCTCTCAAATTAGACACCCATCCTTCTAGCATATACCAATCATACTTACATATTTAATTTAAGCCACTAAATTGAGGTTGCAAAAATTACAACTCTCCAATTTTGCAGCTTGATCAACACATTTTTTTATTGCTAACCAACCATACATTTAATAAAGCATCACAAAAATAAATAAAAATAATTCCCATGGTTTCCAGAGTTTAGAAATGATTTGTTGGAAGATTTCAGTAAGAAACAGATCATTGGAGTAGTGATATGAAATTTGATAACAAAATTAATTATTCGGTAGTGAAATGGATCATTTGGCAAGGAAATGAATATAAATTTTATTTAAGAATAAAGGAATGAATGGAAAATAAATAAAATGAATTTGAATAACCTACGCAAATAAATAGATTTATTGATTCACTGTGGCCATGCCACTTATTACTGTACTGGAAAAGAAATAACTGTGACTACGGAAAAGAAACTAGAAATCCTGTATGAAGAAGCGAAACTACAAAAATTTAGTCCTTTCGAACATCATCCTTCGTGTCCTTTCATTGTTTATAGCTTCCAGGATCGAATTCAGGGTCATCCTCTGCAGCCATTGGTTCAGCTGTCTTTGGATTTTGCTCTACTTGAATAAACTCTTCATCTCCTCATCGTCAGATGAAATATCAATAATGATTGGGGTTGGTGGTGGATTTGGATTTGAGATTTCCATAATGGAACTGTCAACAATATGGTTACTCTCCTCCATTATTTCTCCTTCCTCTTGCCCTCCATTTGGTCCTGGTTGATTGCCCTGTGATGGAGAAGTGTTTTCTAATTGGTTGCTTGTAGAAGGGGAATTATTCCCTGCTTGGTTATCATAATAATAATTTGGATATAGAATCTATAAGCGTTCCCAGTGATATTTCTCAACTCAAACAAGGTAAGAAATCAAGTATCCACTGTCCATAATAGTCTTTATATTTAGAATAATTGGGGATGTCCCCAGGCAAGTAGAAATCAGAGAACTTTGTCTTGATAGTAAGATACAGGGGTTTATCAGGAAGACAGTGAATTATCATGGCTGAAACATGATCAGGAAGTATTTAATAACTAAACAATAGTGGTGTCAATTTGGATTCGGGTCAAGTTCGGTGAAGACGAGTCAGGTCAAGTCTATATTTAAACCTAAATCATGCTAAATTATTGTGTTTATGTGAGGCTAAATTCAAATCAAATATTTTTCGGATTGGGTCTGATTGAATGCGGTTTTAACACCCCTACTTAACAAGTCAAAATGTATAACTTTCTGTCTACTTAGGAGTATTTCTTAACAAAGGTAGTAGTACAAATGTACAATTTCCAGAACTGAAATCGTGCGCTGTATGTAACAACTCGATCGACGACCTAGCACTTTCAGTCGCCATGCTTGACTTTTCAATTTTGATATTTCCATCATCTTTATCATAAGTCACTCCCACGTAATATCAATTAATTTCCCTATTGAGTATTGAACTATTGACTTCCCCTGCACCCTTTATAACATAATTATCCACTTCTGAATCATAATCAACTCCTTAATTTTCCTCCTCTACTTGACAACTACAATGGCTACCTTCTCCTACCACCACCTCCTCATTTTCACTCTCGTAGCCGTCACCTCCGCCGCTCCCTCGTTCCGCCCGAAAGCCCTAGTCCTCCCCGTCTCAAAAGACCCCTCTAAACTCCAATACACAATCAACCTCACCCAAAGAACTCCTCCTGTCTCCGTCCCATTAACCCTCCACCTTGGCGGCTCATACTTATGGGTTGACTGCGATCGAAACTACGTTTCCTCCACCTACCGCCCCGCTCAATGCAACTCCGCGCAATGCTCACTCGCCGACTCCAAGTCATGCGGGACTTGCAACTCACCCCCTAGACCCGGGTGTAACAACGACACCTGCGGTCTTACCCCTGACAACCCCATCACTAACACCGCCACCGGAGGCGAGCTTGCTTCCGATGTGGTGCAACTCCCCTCCACCGACGGCTCAAACCCGGGCCGAGTGGTTTCAGTACCCAACTTCCTCTTCACTTGTGGTCCCACTTTCTTGTTACAAGGCCTAGCAAAAGGAGTCCAAGGTATTGCAGGATTAGGGAGGACTAAAATCTCTCTTCCTTCACAATTCTCATCAACTTTCAGTTTTGCTAGAAAATTTGCAATCTGTTTATCCGCATCAACCAACTTAAACGGTGTCGTTTTCTTCGGGGACGGACCTTATAGGCTCCTCCATTCACCTCAATCGATAGACGTGTCATCTAGTCTTATGTACACACCTTTGATCATCAATCCTGTAAGTACTGCGGCCGCCTCATTCGCAGGAGAGCCGTCGTCTGAGTACTTCATTGGAGTGACAGCCATCAAAATCGGAGAAAAAGAAGTACCCTTAAACAAGTACAAGGCCTTATTAACCATAGATAACAAAGGAAACGGTGGGACGAAAATCAGTACTGTCAACCCTTACACAGTTATGCATACTTCTATCTACAAGGCTGTAACAAACTTCTTTGTCAATGAGTTGAAGAACGTCTCAAGGGTTAAGGCAGTTGCGCCATTCCAAGTTTGCTACGACATGAAGTCGCTCCCCAGCACACGAGTTGGAGCTGGGGTACCGGCTATTGATCTAGTGTTGCAGAATGAGAAGGTGTACTGGAGGATGTTTGGGGCGAACTCGATGGTGGCGGTGAATGGCGATGTTATTTGCCTTGGTTTTTTGGATGGTGGAGAAAATGTAAGGACGGCTATTGTGATAGGAGGGTATCAAATGGAAGATAATTTGTTACAGTTTGATTTAGCGAGGTCTAGGCTTGGGTTTAGTTCGTCATTGCTGTTTAGCCAAACTACTTGTGCTAATTTCAACTTTACTTCTAGTGCATAATCATGAATATGTATAATTAAGTGTTGATTAATTAATTCCCTCAAAAAAAAAAAAAAAAGTGTTGATTAATTAATGTATGTTTTAAAGCTGCAATAAATAAGTTCGTAATACGGAGTAATGTATTACGAGTATACATACTACGATTAAAAATGGAAATTTCTTTATTTCTCCTATTGATTAACAAGTTTTGTTTCTCATGGAATATGTGTCAAGATCTGAGAGGTTCATCCAAAATTGACAGGCGGTATCTACCAGTGAAAAACATCACATTATTTTCCAAAATGTCATTATGAGAAACAAAAGTGTTTCTCATGAGGAGAAATTGGGGTTCCCTCATTAAAAATGATGTTTGTACGAAATTTAACTATTAATTCAATAATGTTGCATTGACTAATGATATATGTTGTCAATTTGTTATTTATTTCTATTCTAACTGCTCTTATCTGTTCAAGGTAGTTTTTTTTTTTTTTTTTTTTTTTTTTTTTTTTTTTTTTTTTTTTTTTAGGAAAATAACTTCAAGATATCTATTACATTCTTGATCGTTGAGTTTTTATTTCTCATTTGAGTTAAGTTTATACATTGAAAAAAATATTACAATTAATACATTACCTACTAGGGTTGTGGGAAAGGGTGGGGATGGGTTTAGGTCGGTCGGTGAGGTAGGGGGAGGTGGTGCGCTGGTGGCTACGTCGGCGGCTGTGGATCAAGGTGGAGAAGAAGGTGGAAGTGGTGGGGCGGTGGTGGGGCTACGGTGGCTGGGTAGTTTTAGGTTTTTTTTTAATTTTATTTTTTTTTGTTTTTTTTTTGTTTTTTTTCTTTTTTGGACAATAATAAAGCGACACATGGCTTCATGGCCTCACTTAACGAACCCCTAAATGGAATCATTTAAGTGGTGGTGAAATCCATTTTTTTTAAATTTGTCTGGTTTTAAAATAATTTTTTTTATGGGGGTGTTAAAAACTATTTTCAGGTTCTTGTCTGGTGTTAAAATCTAAAATATCCAAACGTAAAACTAGATTTGCTTGAAACCATACAAAATATACTCGCTCCGTCCCTTTTTATAGTTCTCATTTGTAATTTTGACACTATTTTTAATGTGAGAGAAACTTCTAAATTACTCTTAATATATAAGACATAACATAGTCACGTTGTGTTCTATTTGATTTGTCTCGATGAATAGATTATTAATATTCAATTGTTATATTTATTTACTAATAAGCAACTGATGATATTTATTGTCAAAGTGTTGCATTGGCAAACGTGAACAGTCCAAATGAAAACTATAAAAAGGGACGGAGGGAGTAAATGAGAATATCGTTCAGGGACACATGAAGTACAAATAAAGATAAATTCAGTCCTAAATTAATACAAAGTATATTAACCTTATTTTGTTACGAAATTAAAGGAACTTTTAACTCAACAGTCTACAAAAATGTCTATTAAGCCCCATTCACTTCATCTTATTTTTACTAAACTGAAATCATTTTTACTGAACTGGAATATTTTTGCTTAACTTATATGATTTTGACTGAATTGAAATTAATTTTACTAATTCTCTGTTATATTTCCTTTATAAAATTACTGATTTTTACTGAACTGAAATTATTTTTATTGAACTGAACTTATTTTTGCTGAACTGAACTTATTTTTACTGAATTGAAATTAAAATTACTAAATAAATTTGTTTTAAGGTAAAGTGAACAGGACCTTATTTATATCTTATTTATATTGTGTTTCTTCAAGTTAAGGGGCATACATTTTGGACAAAAGATCAAAAGATATTCTTGGTGGACGTATCTCCGTACCTCCAATATTCAGATAAATCATAAATGTAATTGTAACCCAAGCACACCTAAGACTTTTCCACACTCTATTATTTAACCATATATTTTATCAATAAACAATCGTCATCAGCAAAAACAAATAATTTGGACCTACATACAGCCCATAGAACTCACAATAAACGCAAGTGCAATCATCAAAGCGTAAGTTAGTTGACCACTTGACTCGTACCTTAAACAAGTTGCCACATTTTGAAAATTCTTATCATAAAACTTCAAACCAATTTTGCCGTACGGTAGGACCGCTAATGCCTATCCACACAAGCTATTAAAAAAATAAAAAATAAAAAAAGGCAAAATTGGCCGCAACACCTGAAATATAGATTAGGTGCATTGAGCACCCTAAACTTTGCGTAATAGCCAAAACAACATCAACTATGATGTAAGGTGCGACGCGTGTCTTAAATGAAAAATTTCGGCCGCTTATTTCACTAGAGGAAGTTGTTATGTTGTTATTAAAAAAATTTCCTCCAAAATTGTATATGATATCATCATAATATAATTTTTATTTTATTTTCAGCTATATTATTATTAGTATCAATTTGAGAAAACAGTCTATTCTCTCTAACATAATAGTTTAATTTTTCTTCGTTAGGTATCCCTTTGACCATTTAATTTTTCTATCAGCTCTATTTTTTTTTTAATGAAATTAGCTCTAATTTTTTTTATTTTTTTTAATGTTTAATGTATTATTTGATTGGGAATTTTTTTATTTTTAATTTCGCTATTAAAAAATAAGCAAAGTTAGAAAATTTTATTTATTCGAATCGTGCATCGCACGAGACTAATCTAGTATATATATATATGAATGAATCAAATAAGTTTAAGTTAGATCGAAATAAATCTAAATTTTCTGGTTTTTATTGGTTGATCAGAAGAAAATTAGTGTGACAGATTTTATAATTTTGGCTTTACATAAATCATATAATCAGATGTAGTGTTAGACTAGAAAATGTAACAGATATAGATCAAAATATTCTGTATCGTACACTTCAATTATGGAGGTAGTCTATTTTCTAGTAAAGAACGTGCTAGTTATCTCTAAGCATATCTAATCTACTCTATAATGGAATGTCCAAAACGTTAATTGATATGTTGATGTTTGATATATATCAAACTAAGGACATAAGTGACACATTTGGCGTTTGTTTGGTTAAATATATACTCTTTATTTAACACGTTAGCTGATACATGATTTCATACATTAATATTTTCGATCATCAATATATACATAAATATAAATTTGGAAAACATATTGTAGAAAATTTTTTCATAAAGGTCCTTTTAAGTTGTCGATTTTGTGTGAAAAATTCTTATATAAAAAAAATGTGGCAAAAAGTTTCTTATATCTCATTTAGGCTGTCATGAGCGACCTTTGACCGAATTCCGACAATTGACTTTTATTTCTCGACCTTTTCTTTTTTTTTTTTTTTTACCTTTTCCCTCCTATTCTAGATGACCCTAATTCTCCCCCCTCCCCATTTTCCTTTCCTCTCTCTAATTTGTGATCCCTAGTCATCATGAATGTAATACCCTGTATTTTTAAGTATTTTATAAATTATTCAAGTATTTATAAAAATATATTTTAAAGCTCAAGTATTTTAATTAAATATTTCAAAGGGCTAAAGTATTTTAATTGTTAAGTTTTATAAAAGTAAATTTTATTTTGGGCTAAATGTTTATTAATTACTTGGGCTCGTTTAAATAATCGTATGTAAACAATCCTTACATACTCCTATTGGACCTACCCTATGTTATTTAACCAAGCCCAATTCCTTTATTTGAACCTTTGTAGGTCAAATATTTCATAACTCAAGCCCACTTATTTATTAAGCCAAAACCTACTCTCTATTCTCTACTCTATAAATATTCCCCAAAACCCCAAAATTTCTAACAAAAAGAGTCTCAAAAATCAAATTTTTAGGGTAAGTATTATTCTCTCTCTTTTTTTCCTTATTTTTCTTTCCTTTCTTTCTCAAAAATCAAGCCATCCAGCATGCGTGGCTCGTAATAAGTCGTGTTTTGTGCGTATTTATTAGCTTATTTTTTGTTGGCTTTATTAGCTTAGTCGAATGTTTTAGTCCATTTTGGTGTAATTTGGTTTAGTTTCGATGATTCAATGCTTTTATGGGTAGTTTCGTTGTTTTTGATGTATTTCAGGATTAACGGAGCTAATTGAGTGGAACTGAAGCAAAACGTTGATGAAATACTTGACAAATATGACACCTGTTCACTATTATGCTCATAACTTTTGATATACAAATGATAATGGAGTGATTCAAATTGCATTGGAAAGTAGACTTGAAGACCTTTCCAACAATATATTACACGCCTCAAACGGAGCTTTGGATATGAAGTTATGACTGATTTAAAATGAGTGATACGCACAGCAGAGCAGGCACGTCCGTGCCAAGCAGTCAGGCACGTCCGTGCCTGGAAGACAGATTCTGCAGCGTTTTTATTTCTAGAAAGGCACGTCCGTGCCTCCTGGGATTCTTGTGCGCCAAGGCTTAGCCGTTTTTCTTATCTTTTTAGGCTCATATAAATACTTTTTAGCCTTGTTTTTCCTGACTATTCATTAAGCCTTATTTTATTTTATTTTTTTTATTCTCTCCTTAAGAACTAGTTCTCAATTATTACTTTTCAAGTTTTTGTAATTCAAGATTCAAGCTTTCTACTTTCAATTTTTATTCAAGATTTGGTATTTATTTTTCATCCTTTGTTATTTAATTATGTTTTCATTATTTATTATTATTTTTGTTTCTTTAATCATGTGTGAGTAGATTCTTTAATTCAAGATCTAGTGTAGCCCAAGTATTATTGATGCATGAATTAAATCTTTAAATTCTTTTTTAACTTTAACAATTGAATTGCTAAATTGATTGTGATTATGCCAATGCTAGGTTAGACGTAACTATAGTATTGCGATTATTCCATTGTTTTTATCACAGCGAGAGTTGGGTATAAACAGATTTGAGTAAATTAATTTAGGGTTTGATTCATAACACGAGAGTAGTTATGTTTGATAATTGGTAAGTGAGAGTAACGTGTTTAATGTCTTTAATATGCATGATACCATGAGAATAGGATTGATTGTATGTTAGGGAAGCCATTGATACTCGAGAGAGATCCTTGGTAATTATTAGGGTTTACTTTTCCCCGTTCGATTGATATCGTATGTTAAGGGTAGAATTACAATTGCATCGATAATAATTGTGGTGAAACTAGATCTTGGATGTTTTAAGTACTTGATTTAATCATCTTTTCGAATTCTTCTCGTACTTAGTTCCTTAGATAATTGATTATAATTGATTCTTGCTTAGTAGAAATTCGAGTCCATTTAATTATTCGTGAACCTTAGTCTCTTCGGATCCGACCCTTACTTGCCAGTCTACATTAGTATTGGTCAGTTAGGTTATTTTTGATAGGTACGCGACACGCCTATCAGCTCGCTAACAGCACGCATGCTGGGCCTTGCATGGGTGTCTCGCACCATCGCAAGCCCTAGCACAAGCGTACGCACTATCGCATGGCTAGGCCAGTGCGTGTGTGCGTGTGCGTGTAGGGCATCGCAGCAGCAACACTA